CATGTATTCACATATGTACGAAACCAGCAGTGATGGTTCATAGTAATTAGGACAGCAAAGGTAATGTTTGCTCTCAGCCATCAAGGTTTGATGACCACCATCACACCCTTTCTCTATATATTTTAACCATCAAGTTAATGTTAGTCATATGACGGACGAAAACTTCGCACCTTTTCACCGGAATCGAAGGAGATTACCTCGGAAACAGCGTCAGCATGAATCTTCCAGTTAAACCAATCAACAGCTGGTCAAGAGGAATCCGCCGTCGTCTTCTGGTGGAACCGACCTTCGAATCTCTTCACCGAACGCTTTCACTCTAAATGGAAGTAAGCTCAACAATTATGAAACAAGAGATTCCTCGAAGCCCAACTTTTCTTCGCATCATAGTAAAGTCAAATGACTACAGAGTAACAAAAGCCAGCCATCATCTTTTGGTGAGATCGACGTACTATTCACTTCATCGTGCACACACACACACACACACACACTTTCACACGAGCCGAAAGTCACCACAAAAGTAACGATACTTGTCATTTGGTTATCTACACTCTTTAGTCCCGAAATAGACTCTTCTCGAGCCGTCTTCCCTCGCAAAGTCAGAGGCTAGGGCGATAGGCGGTATCGTCCATCTTCACGCCTGTGCCTCCCTGATGCACCCGGGACGACGGCAACGGCTAATTTGGCCAGGAAATGTCTGTAGATCGGACTCGGACACGAAAGCCAGCGGATCATCTTTGCCAGACTCGCTCTCCTCGCTCGCTCGTTGCTAATGCACACGCAGGCAGGATGCTTGGCTCGCAAGTCCTACTGAACACCTAAAAGCAAAAAAAACAGGTTCACGTAACTAAGGCATTAAGTGATTAGCAAGCATTGTTTTTCTCTAAGGCTCTATGTTAAGGAGTGTTTTTAATCGGCCACTTAAATAGTAACTAAGGTGATAAACTACACATGTTTTGTGCATACTTCTAGGGTGCATGCTCTTCAGGCGCTTTTTCAAGATTTGATAGCTGAACAGACCACGATGACTTTGCAAAAGGATTCCAACGTGTATTTCGGTACACAAGATAAGAAGTTTTGCTCTTAACTTAGGTTAGGTTGCTCGGAGAAGGGATTATGGCAGACCTGTTGTTGCTCTTGTGCTGCTGTGCGCCTAATGGTCTTTGCTAGCTCACCTTCCTCTGAACACGAAGGCTACATACTCAGTCTTACTTTGTATTGTGGTAGGCGCCAACAGAGTCGAGGTCTAGCTATCTGGCAGAAGCGTTTGCACTATTTTAAGAGACCCAAGTGATTATTCCTCTCAAATTGATGTAACCTTAACGATATTTTCTACTCTCTTTCACCTGAAACCTTATAGTTTATACTCTCGCCGTCATCCCAGTTAAAACGAGGGATATGATGAGCATACTTGGATCAGGCTTTTTTAAATTTTATTCGTTGACCTTTTGAGAAAAGGTCTCCTTATCTCTCCTTACATATTCCCCATTCAAAAAGCTATTCTTTATTAATCTAATGTTATTTTCAATCAAGCCAAGGGGATAGTTATTCTCAAGGAAAATTATTTTAAGCCGATTCTGTTCATTGTCACAATGATCTATATCGGCTAGTCTTATGCTACGAATAAGCATTAATTTTAAAACTCCAACCTTTAATTTGTAGCTATGATTGGAGAAAAAATTAAGTATAAAGCCAGCATGTAT